TCCCCCCCCCCCCCCCACACCTAGAGCAACGATAGGGATAGAGGGATAGAGTCCAGGTGTCCTGGCACTTAGCCATGCCCCTGCTTGCCAGTCCTGTAGTGGTAAGACAGAGCTGTGCAGGCATAAAATTATATTAACTCTTGATGTGTGACTACTCACAATGCATTCTAATTTAACACTGCTTAGCATTCCACAGTTTTAGTTTAGTTTAACCGTAACATATAACTTCACACTTAGGCACTTATTACACCTTGCACTGTGAGCGGCACAAATGTTGATCAGTGCTAGTGCTAGCTTGGAGTTTGGAGCAGTCACATCCTTAGTCTATAAACCTTCTCTGGCTGTCCCCAACCTGCACAGCTGTGATTTGCCACTAGAGGCTTTGTGAGCAGGACTAGGAGCTGTAGCTGTGAATTGCCACTAGAGGGCTGGTGAGCCAGGACAGACTTCTATTCCTGCTCTTTGGGCAGGGCTTTGAAAGATCTTGGAATACTGGAAGACTTCAATTTAGGCTGCATATCTGTGGGGAGTGGCTACACCTTAACAGAACAGGAGCTGCATAGTGCGAATCCAGGACCTGCCCTGGAGTGGCATAAATTTAAGCTACATGATGAGTGCTTAAAACCACTTTAAGGCAGTAATATGCAGACAGTCCAGGGGTTAAGAGCTCCAGGAGCCACCCAAAATTACTGTGTAAAAAGATGGTCAGTCTCTGGCTTAAGTTAAAGCTGCCTCAAAACAACATTAAGTTGATCCAGTTTGTCATAGCCACCTGGGGTACATCCCCATGAGCATGGACGTGCAATTTGCAGTGCTGCAAAGCTGTTTGAGGCACTGCACACAGCACATGTGCACCCATGCACCATGCTGCAAATTTGCAGCATTGTGGGTTTTTTGATACTGAGAGATCCTGGTTTAAAAAAAAAAACCTTTGCTAAAAAAAAGTGGCGTGACTCATGTGGCAGCAGCGTGCACCACCAGAAAAGAGAACCTGGCCAGCCAGTGCCATGTTCTGGCTGCCAGCTAGGCTCTGAGTGACTAGATTGGCACTGCTGCTGCCCCGGGAGGCTCTCAGGACTCCAGGTAAGGCTTCTGGGGCTAGAACATGTCCTGCCTCCAGCTTTCCCTACACCACCTGGGTCCCTTTGTTGCACACCAGAGCACACGTGCAGGGGCATGCCCAAGGACAAAAAGCAGTGGCAGAAATATGCGCTGCTGCTATTTGTCCCATGGGAAATGAACACCCCAGCCTGCCCTACGGTCCCACACCAGAGGGGGTTGGGGTGGGGTCCCCTAACTGACAGGCTGATTTTGTTGGGAACCCTGTGCAGATCCCCTGGGGTTTCAGCTCTGCCCTGCTATCTTGTGAGGGAGTCCCACCCACACCCTTACCCCCACCCCCATCCCAAGGGGATGCAGGGCTCTCCCAATCTCAACCAGAGTCCAGGGTCTTAGCAGATTGGAGGGTTCAGATGGTGCCTAAGGAACCCGCTGAGCCCCAGGATCAGAGGACAACGCCCAAGAACTGATGGGCTCTGTGGAGCCTGCAGATCTCTTGGTCCCAGTGGTCCCCAGGGGTGAGCTACTTACATTTCTTGACTGCAAGTACACCCGACAGTCCACCAGCAAGGTACAGCTCGCCTTGGACTGCTGGGAAGATTTTTACAGTGTCCTCAACACTGTGAAGGTGCTTGCAGGGGAAGACAAGGGGCCCAAGCTCTGCAACACCCAGATCTATAGGTGAGCCCACAGTTTCGTAGATATTCTCTACGCTTACAGGAAGGGTGGTGTGCGAGCCAGCGGGCCCCATGCCAGGCATTGAGATACGTGAGGCCCCTGCCAAACCATCTACTCCACCCACCCAGCCATGAAGTCATTTAAGACCACAACCCTCAATGTCCACAGCTACAGGAAGGATCTCTGGAGATGCCAGGTACCCTCCTTCTTTCAGTACCTTTCTTGCAAGAGACCCTAACAATTCTGGCCTATGAGCCTAACTGGCAGCTGAAGTGGTGAGACAGGGTATTTTTTAGTCACCCCTCAGCCACCTCTTGTAGGATGGACCCTGTTCTCCCCAGGCCTGCAGTCAAAGGTTCTCTAGTACATTGAGGTGGTGCCAGCCTGCCTGCTGCACCTCCAGGTCTAAGTGCGGGGCTAGTCCTGAACCTTCTAAAAGTGTACACCCCTGTGAAAGATCCGGAGTTGGCAGACTTTTTCTGCCAGGGAGCCACTTACATCAGCACCCTCAACTCTTGTAAGTGCCTGGTCCTTAGCAGGGACTTTAATGTCACCCTGGAGGTGTGGGATTGGTCAGGCAGTGAGTGGAACCAGGCCACCATGGGTATCCTCAGAGAGATCCTGACAGAATATTCTCTGATGGAGGTCTTGCAGGCCTGTCACCCTGACAGCAGCCTCCCCTCTGCCCCGCTGCCTTCACCTATGTGAGGATGTGGGACGAGCAGTCCACTCTCAGTTGGACCGAATTTATATCTCATTTTCACACTTTGCCCAGGCCCACTCCTTTGGTGTCCAGCCAGCCCACTTCAGCAATCACCACTTTGTCTGAGCCCAGGTTATGCTGGGGCCCAGGAATTTGGAGCCAGTCTATTGGCATTTTAATGCCAGTCTGCTGGAGGATGTGGGCTTCAGGGAGGCCTGCCAGGAGTTCTGGCTGGCTTGGAAGGAGCAATGGGCAGCTTTTTCCTTGGCTCAGAGATGGTGGGATGTGGGGAAGGTGAGCATCCAGCTTTTTTGCCACAGCTACACTCAGGGGCACACACGGCACAGGGAGGTGGTCTGGGAGCAGCTCAAACAGGAAGTGCTGGAGCTGGAGAGGTGCTTGGCTGCCAATCCAACCAACCCATCCCTCTGCAGAGAGTGTCAGGAGAGGCAGGAAGATCTTTGCACTCTGGACAACCACTGCCCCCCTCCTGATGCCTGGCAACAAAGCACTGGGGATTGACAGACTGACCGCAGAATTCTACCTGGCCTTCTGGGACATCCTCAGCCCAGACTCTGCTGCAGTCTGGGCCAAATCTGAGGGACGTGAGGAGCTCCTCTTGTCGTGCCAGAGGGCCATGCTGACCCTCATGATGAAGAAGGGGGATCCCCTCAACCTGAGGAACTGGCATCCCGTGTTCCTCCTCTGCACAGACTACAAGGTGGCAGTGAAGGCCATCTTGCTGCACCTGCAACCTGTGCTGATGGACATGATCCATCTCAACCAGACACACATGGTGCCCAGATGTTCCATCTTTGACAACCTGTACCTGGTTCAGAACCTCCCAGAGCTAGTGTGCTGGGAGGGCCTGTCTTTCTCCCTCCTGGTCCAGTGCAGGCCTTTGGCTTTGGGCCCCATTTTGTGCAGGCTGTCCAGGTGCTGTACGCCTCTGCAAAGTGTTTGGTCAAGGTCAACTGGACCCTGACAGAGCCCGTCCCATTCAGGTACAGGGTACATCAAGGCTGACTGCTGTCAGGCTAGCTGTATACCTTGGCCCTGGAGCTCTTCCTTATCCTCCTGCAGAGGTGGGGTAGGTGCTCCAAGAGCTAGCAGTGTGGCTGGTCCTGTCAGGTATGTCAACAACATGCTTCTTGCAGCCCAGGACCCAGGCGACCTGGCATGGGTGGAAGTCTGCCAGGTGTTATATTCAGCACCTTCTTCTGCCCAAGTCAACTGGGTCAAGGGTTTTGGCCTGATGGTGGGTGATGGGTGGCAGGCAGGCTCACTCCACCTCTCCCCATGCTCCAGGGGATCTGCTGGAGTGTGGGCTTGCTGCTCTACCTAGGTGTCTACCTGTCTCCCATGGACCCCTCCCCACTGGAGAACTGGCACCAGCTGGAGGCAAGGGTAATGGAGTGGCTCCAGGCATGTATGGGACTGCTGCGGTGTCTTTCCCTGCATGAGAGGGCACTGGTGTTCAACCAGCTGGTCCTATCCATACTCTGGCACCACTTCAACATGCTGTTCGTCTCCCCCCAAGGTCCTGGCTGGGCTCCAGAGACAGGCGCTGGAGTTTTTCTGGCCAGGACAGCACTGGGTCACTGCAGTGGTCCTGAGCCTCCCCTTGTGAGCCAGGACCTGGTTTGTCTGTGCAGCCAGGTCCTGATGTTCCACCTTCAGGCCCTGCAGTGACTGCTATATGGCATCAGTAGTCATGAGCCATGGAGCCACCTGGGGCATGCCTTCCTCCACCACTTCCAAGGGCTCCAGTACAACTAGCAGCTCCTCAGCCTACAGGACTTCTCCCTGCAGGACCTGCAAGGGCTGCCAGAGTTTTACCAGGACCTCATCCAGGTACCCTGCAATCCTCACCCAGAGACTTGTTGAGCCCCTTCTGAAACCCCCAGCTAGAATTGCCAATGGTGCAGCACCCCGGTTGTGACACAGTCTGGTCCTGGGTAATGTCACCCATATCGGAGACCTCATGGACTACAATAGGCAGGCGTGGGTGAACCCTGCTGCGCTGGCCCAATGCATGCGTACGACCTGCCACCTAGTCCAGGAGGTGAAATCTGCCTTACCTCACAATGCCCTTGCCTTTGTCTGACAGGTCCTGCATGATGGCATTTGCCTCACCTGGCCTTGCAGTGCTCTCCACTTCAACACCTGAGTGAGCTGGAGGATAGGAAACCAGGTTGCTTCTCCCCCATACATCACTGCCACCTCTACACGCTTGCGCACTGCATGATCCACCAGGTTGCCCTAGCATCCCACCCAGATACCAAGTGGTGAGACCTGCTCAGCAAGGGAATAGCTTGGGTGCCCCAGTGGCTGAGCCTGTACTCCACCCTCATCCCACGAGCCACTGGGGGCCTCAGCTGCTGGCTCCTCCATGGAGTCATCGCCACAGGCATGTATGTGGCAAGCCTTAGCTTTATCAACACCCTGGCCTCCTCCCCCATTGGCAGGCAGAGGGAGACCCTGGGGTACAGAAAGAAGGCTGCTTTCCTCTCACTGGTCCACAGATGCCTTTGAGTGGAGCACCACTGGGCAGCATCCACCAGCTCCTTGGACACCTTTGAGGACCAGTGGGTCTGGCCCAGGTGCCCTGCAACTGAGAGCAGAAATGGCTCGGGAGAGGCCCCTAGTGGCGGGAAGGAGGAAGCTCAGCTGCCAGTCACCAGGACTGCACAGGTGCTGGTTGCCAGGGCAACCAGGGAAACAGAGACAGGAAGGGGCGGAGCTTAGCCCTTCTTAAGCCCAGGCAGGAGGCCAGGAGGGCAGTTTCCCTCTGGCGGCTGAGGTAGGAGGAGCTCTGCCAGCACAAAGGGGAGAAACTCTGATGGTGGGAATATCCCCTGATTCCTGCTGGGGGCTGGTGCACTCACTGTCTCTGGTAGGGATGGATTCTTACTTTTTGACCAGGACGGTCTAGGTTTTATGTTGTAGCCTGGGGGCTTTGTATTCTTGTGTTTATTGGTTTTACCGGAGTACTGGGAGAGGCTATTCGGGGTTGGAGGAGGCCTCATAGGGACTCCACAGTAACGTGGGGGTTCCTGGTGTCGGAGAGGGCACAGCATTGTTTGGGATGCATTGGCCTCAGCCCAGAGTTAGGGGGCAGTGAGAAGCCCTGGCGTTAGGGGGCAGTGAAGAACCTCGATTGAAGGGGGCAACGAAGAGCCCAGAGCTGGCATTGGCGAGAAGTCCCGAAACAGGCAGTGTAGGACAGGCTAGAGGGCGCCGGTAGGGGCGCGGGCTGTGAGATGAGCTACAGGGCGCCGGTGAGGGTGCAGGCTGAGGGATAAGCCAGAGAGTGTCCGCGCAGCGCAGAGAGTAGGTCAGACCTGAACAACACCAGATACACCACAGCCCAAGCCTCACAGATGTAAGGGGAGGAAAAGAGCCGCAGATAGTGCCTCAGGCACCGAGACAGAAAATAGGCAGCCTCCTGTTTGATTAAGATCTTCCAATCAAGCAAATAACAACAAGGCATGGCAGAAGAGAAGGCAGGCAGTTGGCCCTTGATCAGTGTTGTGGGACCACAAATAGACAGCCCCGGGGAGGCACAACTGTCACAGGCTACTCTCTCAAGAGGGGAGGGGAGCTGGGTCACAGAAAGGGGATAGATGCTGGCATGAGGCACAGCTGTTCCTTGTCACACACCAGGAGATGGGCACGATAGATCAGAGTCTTGAGCTACAAAGTGGGGGCTTCAGGTGCAGCAGATTGCCACCAGGGGTGCATGAAGAAACATGGAAGAGAAAGAAGCTAGCACTGCCAAGAACAGCCAGGACTCAGAGACGGAGCAACAGAGCCTCATGCACTGGATGAGATAAACTGTGGCACAATCCCCATGCTCCCTCACAAGCCACGAGGAGATCACTTACCTGGTGAGCTGGACGGAGGGAATACTTTAGAGGACTGGGATAGACAGCAGATACCTGCAAAGGAAAGAAGAAACAAGAGGAGAGGTCGAGACAGATCCTCCCTGGTGGCAACATAAGATAGAGGGGAAGCAGAGCCATGAGAGAAACAGTGTTGGCAGTGATTGTAACTGAGAAACCAAATAAAACCAATTTTTGTTTTGTTTAATATCAGGGTGATTAATTGCATGATCTCTTGGGGTTTAACATCTTTATTTATTCTCTCAACAACTGAAGCATAGCAGGTGAGTCCCCAGTGGGAAGAATTTGTTGATCTACCCTACCCTGGCCACACAAAAACAGACACTAGCTTCTGGGGCCCAGCCAATTGGTGTCTGGGGACACTAGCCCCTTGTGGTAGGTGGACTGCTGAAGCAGCCCTAACTGAGAGTTCCCTGCACACTCTACCCACTGCAGCAGTCTGGCAGTGGGGGCTGCTGCCTAGCTATGACCTGCTGCCACCTGCAACAGCATGTGGCTCCAAGGCTGCACACTTGCCAAACCTGGATGGGGACTACACAGCCACAGCAGAGGCACCTGCACCTCTGGGTCAGCTGCCAGTGGGCTGTGGCTGCACAGTTGGCCTTTGTGCAGCACTACTGCTATGTGTGCCACAGCCCTACCATCCAGGCAACTATCGCCTGAAATATCTTCTCAGTGTGGTAGTCTGGAGGTCTGCCACCTCCAGCTGGGTTCTGGCTCCTCTGCCTGGGTCCTGCCACTTGCCTCCCTAGCAGAAATTCTGGTGTTTCCTCTTTAAAATACCCCCAAATCCATGTTCTTCCACAAATTAAAACAAAAGATCACTATATAAATGTGTGTGTGTGTGTATGAGAGAGAGAAATTGATCAGTTGGGCAATGTTTTATTGATATATTTACAATGTTAAAGCAATTTGGAAGCCTACCAGTGTCTCTATCATCATAATAAAATAAATTCTAAATATCTGTATGTTTTGATGTTTGCTTTATTTTTCTTATCATAGAACAGTTAGAGCTCCCCCTGACCCCTTCACTAGCTAGGATGTGAGGACAGCTGCCCTTACAGCCACAGCTCCTGCCAGCATGTCTGGCCCTGTCTGGCAGCTGGGAACAATGGGTGTGTGATGGGTGATATGGGGTTTGCAGAAGGGGGTGGGAAGAGGTGTGGGGGGATGCAGCAGGGCTAGGAGAGAGG